CTTGACCAAGTATGCAGAATTAACCCAAGGTTAACAGAAAATGCAACCTGTCTTCTTAAAGTATGTGTTTCCCTGTTTTTCTTTCTTTAAAAACAGATTATCCCTTTTGTTTTCAGACTCTTACAGTGAAGCTAACAGCAACCTACAGTCCAGAAGCCACAAACTTCCATTTCTATTTTGAGATAAGACTGTAAAAGCTACAAGAAGCTAAAGACAACTAGACTCCTGAGAGACAGCTGTTAGGAGTTGTATGCACAGCCAAATGTACCTTAGTGCCTTGATGTGCGTCTAGCTTTTATAACATTAAATAGAAGAACACTAACCTAGGAATCTAATCCCTATCTTTTCTGATTTTGCTAAATTTATGTCATACTCAGAATGGAAACTGACTAGTTATTTGGTGCTCAATGTGAATTTCTTTTAACTTTTTCAAATTATAAGATGAACAGTTTCAAGAGCTTTTCTAACGGCAAACTATCTCTGAAATCTGAGAAGGAATGCCTACATTTATAAGTTTTTAAATAGTACTGGTATAGTCAATGGCACAGTCATATTCAATTTAGGAATTTTACAACAATAAATGAATTTGTTTCTTTACACTACTAGTGTGTGGAAATAAGCCATTAAAATAAGCTGAGTAAGTTACCACTCACTCAACAAAATGCTTAGGGAAATTAAAATAAGACCTTGTAACTACTAACATAATAACTGAAAGCCAAGGAAACAAACAAAAAACCCACCAAGGGCTGGAGAGATTAAAAACCACAAAAACAAGCAAGCAAACAACCTGGGTGTGGCAGCATGTTTGTAATCTCAGAGGTGAGGAGGCAGAGACAGGAGATCCCTGGGATTCACTAACCAGAAACCATGCCTGGCTAGCAAACCCCATTTTTCCAGTGAGGGCTTGGCTCCAAACCCAGAGTTCCCAAAAAAGCAACACCTAAGATTGACCTCTGGCCTCACACACAGAAACAGACAGACAGACAGATAAATGACTAAACAGCATTTGTCAAAACAGCAGGAGGACTACTAAAAAAACAGTGTACTGATATTTTAGCCCAATCTGGCAGCAATTATTGGAAACAAAATTGAAATAATCACAGAATAAAAGCATTATTTCAGTTCCATGAGTGACCATATGATGTATGTTAGCCAACCTTGACCAGTATCCTCATCTACAGAATAAAAATGTTCCAACATTTACATGTTATGGAAACAATAATTATTTTCTTCTCTTTCCCTCTGACATAACTTTCCATTAATTTTTTTTAAAAAGCACAGCTTACAAAGGTAGCTAATCATTAATCATCTAATCTGCCATCCAAAACTACATTAGAAATACATGATTCATTGCTTTTTTCATAAAGATCTTCTCATTTTGAAAAGGCTTTCTTCAACACATTTAATTTTGCATAAGCTTTCATCCACTCTCCCTGACACTCCTCCACCTTCAGGTATCACTAGATATAGTCTGCCTCTTTTTCATGGAATGTGTTTGCTAGATAGACTGTCTGCTTTCTCTCAGTTATCTCAGTGCTAACTACACATTACAAAGAATCTCAGAGCTGCTGAATGATTTCTCACCTAAGTCTCTATATAAGTAGACATGAAATAAAAATTATTGTGTAATTTGAGTGCAATCTAAAATTCTCTATATAAGTAGACATGAAATAAAAATTATTGTGTAATTTGAGTGCAGAAGAAAGACAGTCCATACATCCTAACTCATTAAACCAAGACCATCAATTAGCATTTTCAAACTCTAGTAATGTTATTGCTACTTATAGTATTACATGAACTCTGATAAAAGAAACTTACTAAACTCATTATTAATTATAACAGGGTTTCTGAGCCTAAAGCTTTCTTCTCTGATATTACAGTCTTTAGGTTATTGCTTTATAATTACTTAAAGAATACAAAAATTCCCTAAATCATGAAAATACCTAAGTTTAGAATTCTATCCAAATACTCCTTCACTCATTCCCACCCTAGCTTTTATAAGACAATTAGTCATTTATGAAAAGCAAAATTGGCTAGAGTGTTTTGTCACTTTACTTACAGGGCACAGAAGACTAGTTGTAGCAATTTCACTATCAGGATCTGCAGTAAGTTTTTCTTTAACTTTAAAAAAAAGAAAATGGTAATAATAAACTTTGAAATTAATGATAACATTAGAGCAGAATTACAGAAAATATTTGAAAAGTCCCTACCCCCTTTGAATAGGTGAAAAAGGACAAGATGTTGAATCTTAATAATGGAAACACAACCACATTCCCATTATTAGATTAAGGAATTACCAACGGGCAAACGCTGCATCACATATTTAATTGAATTTTTAACATTTCTTTTAAAACGTAAGGCCACTGAGAAGGAAGAGTTACAAACAAAAATTGTTTTAGAATTTAACAAAACAGGAGAGGAATAAGAAATGGAGCACAGGCCTGAGCTTTAACGCTTTCCAGCACACATTCATTACATTTTAATTCGGCTGCATTAGTTGTTTCCAACAACTGCTCAATTTGTAGACAGAAAGATATATTCTTTATTGCCTCTAACAACTACAAACAATGTGGTAATCTGTCTGAGGTTTCTTCCACTAGGTAACATATTAATACAAGTTACATACACATGAGCATATATGTGTAAGTGTGGGGAGTGGGGGCTGGGAGTGTGTGTGTATGTAGTGTATATATAGTATATATATGGTAAATGTGTATGTATATGTTAATGATGATTAATGTGTACATATAGTGTATATATGGTATATTGCTATGTAAGAATTTCCCTTCATCAAAGTGTCTCGTATTTTAGTCTTAACAAACATACTTACTTAGTGCTCTGGAATGATCGGGATTTCTAATACCTTTCATTTTTAACCTCTGTAATAACATGGCTGATGTAAGCTGTCGTACAAGATATACAGACATGGAGTAATTCTATAAGAAAAGAAAATCAGTTTTAAGGACAAGGCAATGGTTTGTTTAGTTTTTTTTTACTTACATAAATACAGATGGAAGAAACTCTAGGCTCTAAAACAACCTCCAGTGGCAAGTCTTTAACTGGGACAGGGACAACATCAACTAAGCATTTGGGGAAGCAATGGTTTTCTCATTGTGAAATTATTTTCAATCAGTTACTTTAAAATATCTACTTGAATGTTAAACAGTGTGGACAAGTACTTTTCTGATTATATGTTCTAATTTAGCAAACGAGTAACTTGGGGGCCACCATGAGAACATTTTCCTGCCCATGACAACTAGAATCCTGTTTTTACTTATGTAACAATGTTTGATCTTATAGTTTCCTTTTTCGTTTGTTTGATGCAAACAGCAAGCAACTTTATTGTAGTTGTTTAAGGAGCTAACCCATGTTAGCTCGGGCTTTTCATCCATCCACCATGGCGCATGGCTAGAAAAGACCGCTCTTATAGTTTCGTTTGAAAACAGTTCACACTGCACAAACGATGACACTGCTCTTAATCAACACTTCAAATTTACAGTGCCAAAATTCAATTCTTTCAGAAGAGGCTGTTACAGCCTTGAGCAAATCACACCAATGAAGCCACACCAGCTTTTTTCTGAGGAAAAGAATAACAAATTAACTCTACTTCCTAAATGGGTATTTTACAAACATGACATAGAAACAAATTACAAAAACATAAACCAAGACCAGGAAGTTCCTATGTTCAATTTCATGCCTAGATATTACATAAAGGAACTGCTGTTAACTATTTACAGAGGGCCAAGGGCTAAAATACTCTATTATGCCTTTTCATTGCATACATTCACTCAATTTCAAAATGAAGAAAACATTTAATAATTGCCAAACCAAATACTTCCAAATATTTTTTGTTGTTCTTTACTTTTTTTTTTTTGGGGGGGGGGGGTTCGAGACAGGGTTTCTCTGTGTAGCTTTGGAGCCTATCCTGGCACTCGCTCTGGAGACCAGGCTGGCCTTCACAGAGTGAAGGTGGATCTCACAGAGATCCACCTGCCTCTGCTTCCTGAGTGCTGGGATTAAAGGCGTGTGCCACCAACGCTCAGCTTTGTTGTTCTTTTAAGCATCCAAATTCCAACAGCACTGCTTAAAGTTTAGGTTCATTGATCACCTTAATTACAAAAAAAAAAGTATTTCCATTATACAACAAAACCACGATGTTTGCAATGACTCTAACCTTTAATTTATTTAAAAATTTAAGCTATTTACATATCTATAATTATCTTTGTGGCTAAAATGAAACAAATAAAAGAATCCTGGGCCGGGTGTTGGAGGCTCATGCCTTTAATCCCAGCACTCGGAAGGCAGAGACAGGCGGATCTCTGTGAGTTCAAGGCCAGCCTGGTCTCCAGAGCGAGTGCCAGGATAGGCTCCAAAGCTACACAGAGAAACCCTGTCTCGAAAAACCAAAATAAATAAATAAATAAATAAATAATCTTACTATAAACATATAGCTCAATTTTGGCCATAAGACAGGAATAGTACATTTTATTTCCATGAAATGGGAAAGCAACTGATATCCAAATTTAAATTAAACCATTATTTGAAGAAATATAAACATACACATATTTTCACTGTAAAATGAAAACAAAATTTATGAAACATTAATCTCCACATCACCATCACAGCATAGAAAACAATTGCTTTTTGGAGGTTACAGTCAGGAAACAAAAGAATTCTGCAGTTTTAATGTTAAATGTCCCTCATAGTCTTTGAAGACTTGGTCCCCAGAAGGTGACACTGTTTTGAGGCTGTGGAACTTTAGGAAGAAAGGTTGAGACACAGAGCAAGTAGTTGCTTGCCACTGTGCTCTGTCTACCATGCTAGACTATATCAACAAGAACTATGAGTAAGCTTCCCTTCATTAAATTGATTTCTATCTGGGATTTTGTCACAGCAACAACTAAGTACTATACAAAGCTGGCATCCTAAGAAAAGAAATTAATTTCCAATGAAGGCACACTTTCATCCTACCCAGGAATAAAATTCTTACCTTTCCAATTTCAGATGCCCAAGAAATAGAAATCTGATTTGGCACAGCTGAAGACAACCTAACTAAAGATGTAATATTCAAGGGCCGTCCAGGGCGCTTCTGTTCAATCCCATTTTTAGGTGGTGGTGCATAGCCCTATAATCATACAAAGAAAAATAATTTTAAAGGCTCTGTAGGGTTTAAATGTTTTCTTCAAGATACAAACAGGATCTTGCCTAGCTGTTGTACATGTTATTTTTATCTTAGATACAAATAAAACAAAAAAGTAAAAATCCATCTCACCATTTAAATTAATGTTGACACCTTACCATAACTGGCTATGAATCTTTTTACAGAAAAGCAATCTATACAGATAACTGACATCTCAATAATTGCTCATCTAAAGGAGGCATCACTCAAAATACATATGCATGAATGGGAAGGAGTAAGAGTGAATTTTGGGAATGAACTCATTATTAAAGGGTTCATTAAAATCTTGTGAGTAGTTAAAAATGCTTTCTATTGTCTGTTCTGAATGAAAGAAACTATGATCTTCAACACCTGGTTAAGGAACTGGAAAGATGGCTCAGCAGTTAAGAGTGCTTGCTGCTCTTCTTGAGAACCCAAGTTCAATACCCACTAAACTACATTAGATAGCTCACAATTGCCTGTAACATCAGCTCCAAGTGATCAGGCTCCCTTTTTCTTGGACTCAGCTGGAATTCGCAGACAAATGCATGTGTGCACACATACCCAAATAAAACTTAAACAAAATCTTAAGAGAAAAACAAACCAAAACCAAAAAACAAACAAACAAAAAAACCCAAAGAAACAAAACCAACCCGATAAACTTTCAAGAGGGAGATTGAGCTCTGTGAGTCCCAGGTCAGCTAGGACCATGTAGTAAGCCTCTGTCTCAAAACAACAACAAAAGCACACCAAAACGAAAAGCAAACAGAAAACCCACGGCAATAATTAAAAAAAAAAATCACTATTTCAGTTAGTATTAAATTGGCTGCACTTTGCCTTAAATAAGAAACGTACTCATGTTTTATTTTTATTATATACAATTCTCAATTACCAAAAGGCTATGATTTTCAAAAGCAAAACTTCTTAGTTGCAGTAATGCCCACATACTGAAGAGCAGACAACATGCTCACTATGTATGACAGCTGATGTGCCATTTAGATCTTTCCATAAAACACCCATGGCACAACTCATTATATCATTACTTATTTTTTTTCTTTTTAATTTTACATTTTAGCTACTCCTGGTTTTATTTAATACAAAATACCAGATTTTATTTATTGGTTTTTTTTTTTGGTTTTTTGTTTGTTTGTTTTTTGAGACAGGGTTTCTTTGTTTAGCCCTGGCCAATCGGGAACTCACTTTGTAGACCAGGGTCTACAAAGATTCGCTACAAATCACTAAGATTCGCCTGCCTCAGCCTCCCAAGTGCTGGGAGTAAAGGCATGCGCCATCAAGCCCAGCTATTATTTATTTTCATACATACTCCAAGAAAATATAAACACAATGAATTGACTACCATAGTCTTATACCCTTTGTTTTTTTTTAATTTTCTTTTTGTTAAGACAGGGGTCTCTCTATTAATAGGCCTGGCTGGTCTGGAACTCAAAGATCTGCCCTCTAACCTCCTTAAGTGCTGGGATGAAAGGTGTGTACCACCATATATGGCCTACCATGTTCTCTTTTGACAGAAGAATCTTCTGAGGAACTCTTCATTCTAACACTAACACTTTTTATCCTTTATTACACAGAAAAGCTTTACAAATACATCTTAAAACTACACTTCATTCCACTAACACATCTCAGATCTCCTTGAAAGTCAATGACAACCTTAATTGCATGTGTTAATGATAATACAATCTGGGATCTCCCATTATAGGTGAAAGGTTTTCAGACAACAGTCAAGATCAGTGGTTCTTTTTCGCAATGTCCTTAAAATTATCTATTGGCCCAAAAGCTGAGGGCACGTAGCTACCCAGTCAGGTCTGATGAATAGCATCAAAGCTGTACACATATAGGCATTGGCAAAATATCACAGCTCACACAGATCATCAGCAAAGGTTAAGAACCTTGTAGATGGGGGCTGGAGAAATGGCTCAGCAGTTGCCATGCTCTATCAGAGGACCCAGATTCAATTCCCAGCACCCACATGGCAGCTCACAACCATCTGTAACTCCAGTTCCAGGGGATCTGACACCAATGCACATAATATTATTTTTTAAAAGAAAGAGATCCTTTTAAGATTTCAACAATGTTGAATTACATACCTTGCAAAGGGTAAGATTCATATTGATACAAAAGCAGGGCTACAGAATATGCTCAAGTCAACCAGAACTTGAGAGCACCCTCTCCTTCACTGTCTCTTAAAGGGAGCATAGTATTATTAAGTGAGTAGCCATATGATAATTTGTCACCTACGACTATCAACAAAATTCTAATCATCAAAACCTCTTGCACAAAGCACTTGCTTTATAGCATGGGAATAGGAGTGGTGTGTGTTTATATGTTTCAGAAGGTTGTGCCCATTTAAACTGGTCCATGTGAAACATAGAGGAAAAGAGAAACTCAAAAATAGATCCTCTTACTTTAGGAGTTGGGGAGATGGCTCAGTGGGCGCATGAGGACCTAATTCAGCCCCCAGCATCCATGTAAAAAGCTGGTCTGCATAGGCCTGCAGCTCCAGCACCAGAAGGCAGACAGAGGTGGATCCCGAGAGCTGGATGACCATCCAGTCTGCCTAGGCAAAACAGCTTCCAATTCAGTTAGAGACCTGTCCCAAAGCAGTAAGGAGGAAAGTGATAGTACTTAACGAGCAACAAACACAGGAACATCAATACGACTATTTCAGTAATTATAAATGCAATCTTTTGTTTTTGTCTGTTTGGGACCTAGAAAATTATTCTGCTTTTGCTTCATATATTAGTAAGTTAACCAAATACAAACAAATCATTTGGCAGGTATGCCAAAATGATAAAAAAAAAAAAAGTTTGTGCCCTAGCTAAATATCAACTCTAGTTGGAATTTGAGTCACAAGGCATTTCAACAGTGTGGGAGGGAAAAGAGCAGAGAAAACAAAAGTAAATGTATTATAGAGTGTTAAAAGCAACATAGGGCATTTGCTTTGCATGAACAAGGCTGTGGGTTCAACCAACAGTATGGCCTCACTCTCTCAGTGTGCTCAGCTTTTATTTCTTTAATCTATTCTAAAGAGGGGTGGGTGGGTGGGTGTTGTATACCTGCAGAAGCAAGAAGAACCTGAGTTGAGCCAAGTACTGAAATCTGGAACTACAGTTACATGCCACTGTGAGTTGCCCTATGTGAATGCTGAACACTAAACTCAGGTCTTCTGTCACATCATCAAATACTCTTAAACACTGGGTTTGAATTTTTAGATACCAGTATTTCATAGGGAATGTTGTGTCTTTTCTATGGTACCACATCATGAAGCAAATGGCTACTTGTCCCATTTTCCCTGATTCATGACATCAATCCAAGGACTTCACTCTTTACAATAAGATTTCCCATCAAGGGAGAAATCTCACCCCTAAGTTGCTTTTATCAGGGTGTTTTATAACAGCAACAAGAAAAGAAACTAAGACTGTTGGTGAGTTTCAGGTTCAGCAAGATACTATCTCAAAGAATTAAGAGGGAGAATAAGGGAAGACATCCCAATGTCAACTTTTGGCACATGTACACTCACACACAAACTTAAAAATTAAAACATGTAGCCAGTTCAGTAGATAAAACACTTGCTGAACAAATATAAAGACCAGAGTTCTGGTCCCAGAACACAGGGGAAAACCAGGATGGCATGCCAGCCTCCTATAATCCCAACAATAGAGGACAGACAAGATTCCCAGAGCAAACTGGATAGCTAGACTAGCTAGGAAATGGTGAACTCTGGGTTCAGTTAGATAGCCTGCTTCCAAACATAAAGTGGAGAATGATCAAAATACCACCCAATATTAATGTCAGGCCTCTACATGCATGCACAAACATCAGCCTGAACACATGCCAACATGTGAATACAAAATACTATATACATGCACACGACATATACATTTAAAAATGAAATAATCTTAAAGTGTGCAAGATAAAGCTGCTTTTATCACTTACTTGATTATGTGGGAGTCCAAGCACACACTACTGTCAAAGCAATTAATATTTCCTATTCCATTTACTTTGTAAATGCAATATAGTAGCCATCTGCAATGGGTCCACAATGACTGTATATTATAATAGATTCACACATGTAAGGTCTTATGCTAGGTCAAAGACAAGTTATATTCAGATTTACCATTGGAAATTTCATAATCCAATTAAGATTATCCCTGCAGGATCTGTTTTCAGCAAATTGAGATCACAGGCAAGATGAGTCAAATCTTTTGTGGCCTATTAATGGTCTTTACAATTGGATTAAGGTCCCGCATCTATATACAGAGCTCAATTCAACCCCTAAAGATCCACTGTATCTTTCTTGAGACTGTAGTATACTTTTATGATTGTCATGAACCTCAGAATCCTGCTAAGTGCAAATACAGACACTATGTTTCATTATCCTAGTGACTAGTAATTGGGGACCAATAGGTACTTTGAAGTTTTCTGTCAACTGCATGGAGCTTATGTCATCTGTTCTCTACAGTTTCCCAAGCATGGTGGCACAGCTCTAATCCTGGAGCTCAGGAAACAGGAGGTGGATGGTAACTAGGACAACCTGGTCCACATAACAAGTATCAGGCCAACCAGATCTCAAAATAAGGAGGAAAAGATTTTCATGAAGTTTGTGGACTTGATGCAGAACACCAAGCGCCTTGCTGCTTCTGTCTCTGAAATATGTCTTAGTCTTTTCTCCCAATAATCATACTCTTCCTCTTCACAAGCACCCTAGCTCAAGGGTGAATGCCAGAGAACCCCTATCTTCACAGACAGTCTAATTAATGTAGGGAGTTAGGGGTCTTTGGAGCTTTAGGGCAGACACTAGTACTCAAATATCTCATTCTCATTGTTGCCAAATGTCTGGAAGAGTAACAGAGACCTATCATAATGAAGTTACAGACCTCATCCATTAAAATAATGGTACTGACTGGGCCATTTAAAGTTTTGTGAAACTTAGAGATACACTGTATAGGTATCATAGTTACTATAAAAATGTTAACAAGTTTAGGAGGATCTGATACACCGCAAACTCCATCAATGGCACAGTCATATCACACAGGATAGGTTTAAAGTGAGTCTGTAAACACATAAAAAGAGCCTCCACAGTTTTATCTTTCTCCTAGGATAGTAAAAGAGGTAAACAACAAGAGTCTAATGAATCTTAGCACACACTAAGCAGTAAAAAATAAACGTGAGGGGGAAAATATCACATAAAGTATGCATAGAATTACCCTATGATTTGTGATTTTGCCAGACTACCTTTGTCAAACATCCAACCACCCAATTTGGCATTCTTCAGCTCAAAGTAGAGGTGCTTCCTCTCCGGTTCAGATGTTTGTGCAATACACTCAGAAAAAGACAGCTCTTGTGACTCTTACTGCAGAAGGTTAGAAATCTGAGAGGCAAAATGTCCTATTGGGCTTTTCAGTCTCATAATGTAGCCCAGACTAGCACTGAACCTTAGATCTTCTGCCTCAGCCTTCCACATGTCAGGATTCCAGGTGTGTTCCCATGCTCCACTCACATGGCTTCTGAACTTGAACATGTACAGATCATCCAAGGTAAGCAATCCTCCTGATCATATGAACCCATACCCTTTTGTTCTCAAAGGACTATTTCAGACTTCACAGTCTCTCAAGCATCTTTTAGAAAAAGTCAGTGAGTGGTACAGCAGTGCTTAAGCTCTATAAAATTTATTGGGCATGCCAGTAAATGAATTCATCAGGTAAAGGAGCTTGCCATATAAGACTGGTCATCAGAGTTCAATCCCTAGGACCCATAAAAATGGAGAGAACTCAGTCCTCAAAACTGTCATCTGACTTTCATGTGTTCACCATG